CGTTCTCGACCTCGGTTTCCATTCGATCCAATCGGCAAATTAACCAGCCGTCGACCGATGGTGGGTTTTCAGCCAATGGATGCGTCCCAACCTAGCGAAAAGCGATACTTTTCAACCAATCCGATTGCGGGGCCTGTTGTCATGTTAATGGACGGATCCAGCACCGCGCGAAGCGCGATCCAACCAAGGATGCGAACCTAACCGCTCTATATGACGGGGCCGAGGGCGCCGTGCGGAAAGTGTGCGTGAGGAGGTGCACAAGTTACGCGCCGACCATCCGTAATCGGAAGAACGCTCACGTTGCAATTGCCGTACCGCGCTGCGTAGCACAAACCTGTACTGCAGTCCTCTCGTGGTGTCGGCGCTCCAAAGTGGACTATCAATGCTGCAGGTCATACTATCATGGGGACGACCGATGTACACACGCCTGCGAAGCACTTTTAACAGCCCGTTCACTTAGACATTACTCTACCGTCGCTCGGTCTCGCTGTGTTCACCAGCCGGAGGGGATCCATTGCTGGTCGCTGCTGAGCGTGTCGTTTCTGGGCTTCAAGACGAGCGCATTGGCAGCGGCCGTGACGTATCTTCCGTCGACCTGGATCGCAACGTTGCCATCGTCGCCATCGATGCACTTGAAAATGGCGGCGTCTTTGAATTCGCCGTTGCATCGAAGTCGATCGCCATCGGGGACGCAATACGTGTACGTATGGTCGCGCGTGGGCGAAATCACGAACCCGTTGCCTTGGGCAAGAAATACCCATGTATTGCCTACGTTGGTGAGGGAAGCCACGAGGTTGTCGCCGGTGCAATCCCATTTCCCAGATTGGTCGACTGCAGTCAACTTTATGTAAACCGCGGTGTTGACGAATGGGCATCCGAGCGGCTTGGGCGTTGGTGCAGCCGTCGGGGCGGGCGTTGGTGCAGCCGTCGGGGCGAGCGTTGGCGCAGCCGTCGGGGCGGGCGTCGAATCAGGCAGGCACGCTGAGTGCTCGTCCGCGACACAGCGGCCGAGAATGCTCACGAGAACTGTCGCGAGGCGAATGGACGGCGCCTTCATCTCGCTGACAGTTTGCAAAGTGAATTGCTGCTACGAATTCCGTTCAGAGGCGGTTGTCAGGACCGATTGGCCAATACAAAAACATCCACTTCACTATCAGCAGTGTCGGGATAATGCATGCGGATTACATAAAAGCAGTGGTGTCTGCCTGCTGCCATCCAGCGACCCACCGAAGCTTCCGACGAGGTGGCCACGGGCACTACGGTAAAAGCATCTCCAATATACATACGTCCTATTTCGTATTTTCTCGGATGGTGGATCCTATCGTGAAAGAGAAATAGGTTTTCCATCTGCACCTGTCCATCCCCTGTCCATCCCAACGTTACCGGTACCCGCCCTGCGCGTGAAAGCTAGCAATGACCGCAATGACCTCGTTTCAAACGTGAGCCGCCGTCCTGACGGCGCCTTCAATCGAGATGGTGCTCACTGACTGACACCCAAGCTGCGCGAGCGTGGCGACTTCCTCCAATTCCAGATCTTTTTTGACCCATTGTTGTACCGGTAGTGGGTCCAGGGAGCACAAGCCAAGCAACGCCCAGTTCCTTTTTGTGGGCGACGCCGCTCAACGCTCGTAGATGGATCCCATGAACAGTGGTGTCCACGCCTTGATTGGGACTGCAGACGTCGTTAGAGCTGGCAAGCGGACCCAAATGCTCATCTCAAGGCCACCGAAAGTCCCACCCGTTTGAGATTGTAAGATGCCGAGAATCCACATCTCAACTAGAAAAATAAGGCCACCAAAAGTCCCCTATCCTTCCTTGATCCAACCCACTCATGGCGCTGGCGGAGGGCTCGGAGCCCGCTCGCATCGTACTGGTTCCTTCCCAGTACCAAGAGTCGGCTCTTCACGTCTAACTACTGGTAGGCAGAGTCATCTCCTGATCTTGGCGTGTAAACTTTGCTCGGCATTCCGGCGGTGCACTCGTTCATGATCATCATGCAGTCTTTGCACACCTGGTGTGGAATAGCATCACGTTGTGTAGAATTTGCGTGATAAGCACATGTGCGACCACGATCGATTGACAAGGATTACATTTTCTCTCGGGTCGACATGAAGGGTGTATGCAAAGAAGAGTGGCGATTGAATCGTAAATTCCCATTACAATTTATCCCTAAAGCATGAGGCGCCAGCTCCTACCAAAGCAGGCGAA